TGCCCTCCATGGATTATTTGGGACTATTTCAATTGTACTGAAAACATACCCAGGAGTGGGATTGCTGGATTATAGTGTGCATGTTCAGCTGTAGTATTTTCCACACAGTTCTCCAGGGTTCCTATACCCACCTGCAGGGTTATTTCCCACCTGCAGCGTCTGAGAGTTCTGTTGCTTCACATTCCCATCAAAACTAATGACTTCTAATCTCTCTCTCTTAACCAGAAAGATTAATTGTTGCATACAGCAAAGAGCTCTGTTGTCAAGGCTGACTCTACAAGCCATGGCATGGCAGAAGCGGGGCTGGAGCATCACAGACCCAGTCTGTTTTCTGACTCTCCTCTATCGAAATGTTAGCCTTGATTTTTTTTTTTTCTTCTCATCAGAGTCTTTTAAAAAGCTACAGTGACTCTGGAGTTAATTGGCTGTGTGTCCCTGGCTTGTTTCCATCCAATGACAGTTCACAGCCATCTAGAAAACCTGTGATTTCTAAAAAGTCTTCATCCCTGCAACGGAACGCACAAGCACCGTACTTTCCAGAGGCAAAAAACTGTTGGTGCAGAAGGGTGTTTAGACAAGGAGGTCCGTGGCCACGTGGGATCTGGAAACAATCAGGAGAGGGAAGTTGAGTAATATGGAGAAGTGGCTGTTTTACAGCCATGAGAGTCAGGCCTGAGAGAATGTTGGATGATGTGAAGTTATTCACAGGCTATTGTGTAAAGAAGACAGTGGGTTACGGGACAGAAGGTAAGAAGCAATCCCACCCAGCTCCCACAGGAATGTGTGTGGGTGTCAGGCATTGCTGGGGGGACTGCCTCTGCCCCACCCAGCCCTCACTGCACGCACACCCCTGGGAGGGGTGGCAGCCGCAGCTGCCAGGCTCTGAGTCAGCATGCCTGGGGCAGCGGGAGGGGAGAGGGCCTCACGTGTCTGGACCTGAGCCACCTCGTGGGGCCTCCTGGCTCTCAGCCCTGCAGGAAGCAAGACGAGGCCATTTGAAAGGGCCAATCACACTTGGACGAGTCCTCTTGGGGCCCAGCCAAGACTACTTCCATAGGCCTGGGGCTCACGGAGGGGAGGGCTGGGAGAGAGCTTCCTGGGTTGAGCCTGGGAGCACGGGTAAGGAAGTCACCAATCTGGGCGGGAAGAAGTTCCCAGGCTTGGGGTGTAGGGGGTAAGTAGTGCTAAGCGTATGGCCTCCAGGAGTTGGAGGGTAGGAGCTAAGCCAGCCTCTGAGGTGACCCTGAGGGGACAGGGAATGAAGGGGAAACCCAAGGGGAGGGGAAGGAGCAGACTAAAATCAATCTCTTTTGACATGAACACCTGCCTCTGCACATGTGTAACATCGTGAAAGTTACTTGAACTTGCTATGCCCTCAGTTTCCTCAGCTGTAAAATGGAAATAATAAAACCCCGACTGCCCAGCCAGCATGGCTCAGTGGTCGAGTGTCAACCTATGGACCGGGAGGTCATGGTTCGATTCCTAGTCAGGGCACATGACCGGGTTGAAGGCTCAGTCACCATTAGGGGGCGTACAGAAGGCAGCCACTCAATGATTCTCATAATTGATTTTCTATCTGTCCCTCTCCCTTCCTCTCTGAAATCAATGAAAACATATTTATAAAAAATAAAAATAATAAAGCCCTCCTTCAAAGGGTTGTGGATTAGATCAAATGAGTTGACGTGTGCAAAACACTCAGAACAGGGCCTCCTACAGCAAGTGCCATATGAGAGTCTGCTATGGCTGTTATTACTTAGGGCCATGGTTGGCAAACTGCGGCTCACGAGCCACACGTGGCTCTTTGGCCCCTTGAGTGTGGCTCTTCCACAAAATACCACAGCCTGGGTGAGTATTGACGTTAGAAGAAGTGACGTTAGAAGAAGTTTAAGTTTAAAAAATTTGGCTCTCAAAAGAAATTTCAAACGTTGTACTGTTGATATTTGGCTCTGTTGCCTAGTGAGTTTGCTGACCACTGACTAGGGCATGTGGGGATCAGACAGGTAAAAGGATGCATCCCCAAACATTTAATTTTAAGGACGGGGACAGCCTGGGTGTGTTCTCCCTTTTCTGTCCTTGGAAAAGCCATGGGTGATGGGTTACAGGAGAAAACCCAGCCCCTGTCGGTAGAAGGCAGGAAGCCTACGGCACAAGTCTGAGCAGCAGGAGGCTGTGAACGGGGGTTTTGGTGGTGACAGCGGAGAAGCCATCGGGGTGGCCCATGGAGCTGCTCACCCAGGGCAATGCCATCTCTGAGCTGGTTCAGGGAGTGGGGGGAGAATGAAGGAGAAGTCTTGTTCAATTTTGGCCCCTTTTATTCTAGGGCAACCATACCCACTGTCTTAGCTAGCCTGTATTCTCTAAAAAGCAGGCCCCTTCTCCCTCCTAGTCTCTAGCTTTTATCTTCCAGGAATGCCTACATAGCCTTAACAGGAAATCAATCAAAAATCCATTGCCCGAGGCTGGCAGATTCCACCTAATTGAAGTAGGCGGTGCTTGACTGGTATGGCCTGAAGTCTTGGGGTCCTCAAAGATCACTGATAAGGGTTCCCAGCTATCAACAGCCAATAGGGCTGTCCTGCGTCTGGAGATGTGTGAGTGGGACCTGGGCTTGTCCTCATGCCTGGGAGAAGCGGCAGAACTTCCCAGGCCAGGCTGCCCACCACGGGGCAGGACCCTGGGGAATAGAACCTGCTTTCCACCTTGAGTCAGTAACGGTCATCAAGCACATCCTAGTGGTGACACCAAGGGAACCAGAAGAGGCAAACACCAGGCTGCCGGCCACGGTGGGGCAGGCCTGGGTGGAGATCTGGGTAGAGATCAGAGAGGGGCCAGGGTGTGGGGAAGGGGCCAGTGTGAGGCCTGTAGGCACTCCACCAAACTCAGAAGACCATTGGGAAGAGCAGGGCTGGGGAGTGAGGCTATAGTCCCCTCTGCCCACAGCCAGAGGGAGAGGAGGGAAAGTGACAGGAAGGTGTGCCCGCACCCTCTGCCCCCGGTCACATTTAGGCTCAAATCCAGCAGGCCTGGGACAGGCCTCAAATGTCTGCTTCCTTCAGGCTTCTTTAATTTTTTTCGTTGTGCTTTATTTAATCTTACTTTTCTTCCTTTGTCTGTCTGTCTGTCTGTCTGTCTCACACACACACCCATCTATGCACATCCCATAGACCCTCATCTCTACATATTAACTTTGGGCCTGGCCCCACCCCAATCTCTTGGGTATTCACTATAGAAGCCTCACACACATAAACATGCACACACATTGCCCTCATCACTCAGACTGCTCCATTATTCTTCAGAGGTCTTGTGACCCCATGAAGAACTGGAAAGTTCAGCCTGCCCCTCCCCCTGCTCTGGGCTGCCACCAGACCAGAAGGCCCCACCTGTTTTAGCTCTGCTTTCCTGTTCTGCCTTTGGATTAATAGTTGCCCAAATTTGCTCAGTGGATAGGGTGCAGGCCTGCAGACTGAACGGTCCTGGGTTTGATTCCCTGTCAGGGCACATAACCAGGTTGTGGGCTCAGTCCCCAGTAGGTTGCATGCAGGAGGCAGCTGATCAGTGATTCTTTCATTATAGATGTTTCTCTCTCTTCCCTGTCCCTTCCTCTCTAAAATCAATTTTTAAAAAAAAGTTGCCAAAATTTATTGATTTACTAAGTGCCTACTACATGCCAGGTTTCATCCTGCCCACTTCACATGCTGCCTCACTTGGGAAGGAGATAGGCTGCATGTAACAGAAGCCCCACACAGCAGTTGAACGAAACTGAATTATGTGTTCCTCACTTAGCAAGAAGGCTCTGTGTGTCTCAGCGACCCAGGCTCTTTCCTGCCTCACTGTCCTCAGCCCATGGCTCTTTTTGTTTTGTGTGTGTGTGTGTTTTTAATGTGTCCCAGGAATGAAACAGCTCTGGCCACCAACATAGGCATCAAGCTAGGATGAACTAAGGACTGTACATCTGCTCTGCCCCTGGCTGATATAAGAGCCACACCAGCAATCAGGTATCTCCTCGTCCATTGCCAGGGAGGAGAGACCTGGTGCACGGACTCATGCATGGAAAGGGAAGTGGTCCCCCAGCCTGGCCTGCACCCTCTCACAATCCAGGACCCCTTGGGGGATGTAACAGTGCACCAAGCAGCAGGCGGCCAGGGCGGAGCCCGAGCTGGCACTGCACCACTCATGTTCATCCCGGCCTGCTGCACCTGCCACCACTGCTCAGTAGCACTGCCACGGAGTAGGGGGAGGTTCCCGCTGTCATAGCTGCACTAGTCTGCAGTGAGCCTGGCTTTTGGCTGAGCGGCTCTCCCTCTGTGAGAGCGCACTGACCACCAGGGGGCAGCTCCTTCATTGAGCGTCTGTCCCCTGGTGGTCAGTGTGCACCAAAGCAACTGGGCGACCAGAGGTTCTGGTTGTTCAGTCATAATGGTCACTTAGGCACATATATATATATATATATATATATATATATATATATATATATATATATTTTTTTTTTTTTTTTTTTTTGAAGAGAGGAAGGGGGAGGTATAGAGAGACAGAAACATTGATGAGAGAAAAACATTGTCAATCAGCCTCCTCCTAAACCTCCCCTACTAGGGATGGAGCCTGCAACCCAGGCATGTGTCCTGATCAGGAATGGAACCAGTCACCTCTTGGTTCATGGGCAGATGCTCAATCACTGAGCCACACCAGCTGGGCGGCTTTTTTAAAAATTTTATTTCATTATTATTTTTTTAAGGAGTCATGCTCCTGTGGCTTTTTTTGTTTGTTTGTTTGTTTTTAATTGATTTTAGAGAAAGGAAGTGGGGAGAGAGGGATAGAAGGAGAGGGGAAGGAGAGAGAGAAAGAGAAATGTCGCCACATCCATTGGTGGCCTCCCACACTTGCCCTGACCAGGAATCAAACTCTCAACCTGGGTATGTGCCCTGACCATGAATCGAACATGCCACCTTTTTGGTGTATGGGATGACACTCCAACCAGCTGAGCCACACTGGCCAGAGAGCACATGGCTTTTGATTTCAGGGGCATCAGCTGGCTGAGGGGTAAAAAGTCAGGAATGGCACCTGAGACTGCCCACTTATCTGGACACCACCTCATCTGGGTCCCCCCACCGACCTCAGCACAGTGCTTCAGACCAGCTTCTCCCTGTGGTTTCCTCCATGCACCTCACACAGGCCGGCCCCCCAGGGGCCTGGGACTTGGACTGGACTCACTGCCTGAGGAGCAGACAGAGGCCGATATACTGCATTCCAGATGCCAGGTGGCCCCCAGTGACCAGAGCCCTTTGCCAGCTCTCTGCTGTAATCAGCGGGCAGACATGAGTCCTGGCTGAGAGTGATAGGGACTTGGGATCAGGAACTGAGCCAACATCACCCCAGCCTTATGGCTGCGGCCCCACACCCTCTGGGCCTGCCCCTCCATCCACACATGTGTTGTACTTGTGGTCAAAATGCCCACATGCCCTGCTCACCCCACAAGACTCCCTTCAGTGGCCCCTGCCCTGGCCTATGGCCAGAAGGGCCCAGAGTGCATGCCCTTGGAGGGTCCTGGCGCCCTGTCCTTCGTTTTTACAGTTGTCAAGGACTGTGTTTGGGTTGGCTCCAGGTCTTCCTTGTGCATGGCCCTAGCTGAGTGCCATAGTCAGGCTGGATCCCCATCAGACATCACTACCATAGGCTGACCCTGGGTGCAGAAGGGACACCTGAAGGCTAATGGGTTGTTTGGACAGGAAGGCTTTCCTCAGTTTTGGTCTGAGCACATGTTGAAGGATAAAAAGGAGAGGAAAGAGCCTTCCAGGCTGAGGGCGCAGCCAGCATGGGGGATGAGGGGTGTGTGTTGGTTTTGAGAAATAAAACACTGGGAGACATCCGGGGAGGCGCCAGCAGTTCACAGGCCAAGAGGTAAAGAAAAGGAGTATTTGTATGGGAGAGAATAGTGTAGGCTGGCATTGAGACCCAAGACACCTTGTGGGGCCCCAAACACCTCTCCGCCAAGCCCCCATTGGGGCTGTTACTCCATGTAGGGCTTTGGAAGCTGGCATTGAGGTGTGCTCCTTTCAAGTTTAGGGTATATATAAGCCTCTTCACCATGCCTTTGATGACAAGGAGGGAGCTTGTTAGAGGTGGGAGTGTGAAAGGAAGACTGGTCAACCTAACAAACCCTATGGACTTCACTGAGGCCCAGCGAAGTGACTGACCTGCCAGGGACACACAGCTGGTAACACAGCTGGGACCAGAATTTGAAGCATTCTACTCCAAACAGAATCCTAGTTTTAACCCACTGCAGGAACCACAAGCCAAAATCACACCCTAAACTGCACAAATATGCATATTTCCCCCCACCCCCAGTCATAATTTTCAGGAATCTGCATTTTATTATTTTATTTTATTGATTTTTTTTTTTTTTCAGAGAGGAAGGGAGAAGGATAAAGAACCAGAAACATCGATCAGCCGCCTCCCGCCTCCCCACTCCCCAACCAAGGTACATGCCCTTGACTGGAATCGAACCTGGGACCTCCAAGTCTGCAGGCCAACGCTCTATCCACTGAGCCTAACCAATTTCGGCAGGAATTTGCATTTTATAAATCAATTTTTATTGATTTCAGAGAGGAAGGGAGAGGGAGAGAGAGAGAGAGAAATATCAATGATAAGAGAATCTCTGTCTGGCTGCTTCCTGCAAGCCCCACACTAGAGATCCAGCTGCATCCCTCCCCAACCGGGAATCGAACCATGATCTCCTGGTTCATAGGTCCACGTTCAACTACTGATCTGCATTTTATCTGACGTCCCAGTGATTCCCGCGCATATCGGTCTGTTTGAGACTCGGGCTCCACGTTCAGGGCCCACCAACCTCACAGCACCGGGCAGGCCGAGACCCTGGAGTGTGAACCCCGCCCTCTGGCGATGACTCGGCCACCAGCCTCTTCAAGGTCCACAGGACGGGTCCCTGCGCCCCCTCGCGGCCACCGGAGCCAGTGGCCGATCCCTGCGTAGCCCGTCCAGGAGTGACGGGCGCGGGCAACGCCGGAGCTCGGAGTCTTACGTGGGATTAGGAAGGTCACCCGCGCCGGATGTCCACAAGTGGGGACGCCTAGAACGCCCCCGTCTGGCGCAGGGAGCACCGCACCCTACGCCCGTCACCCTCGTGCACGCGCCCGCGCCCGCGCCTCTTGTGCGCAGGCGCCTACAGGCCGCGCAGCCACCATTGTTCCCCCGCCAGCGAAGCGGCCCGTTAGGAGACTGCGGCCACAGAAAGAAGGGTAAGTGCGACGCCTTGAGGACAGCGGCAGGGGGCTGAAGGGGTAGCATACTCAAGGGAGGATACCGCTCCCCGTCCCCGCTTAGCCCTGGCCGACTGGAGCAAGGAACTACAACCCCCAGAATGCACTGTGCTGCAGGGTTGCGCGAGGCAGTGACGTAAAGGGTCTTCGCTGCTGCCTTTTCTCCGTTGGGGGGGGAAACGCCACGGCGAAGGTTGATGACGCGTTCTTCTTCTGGTTAGAAGGTCAACGGAGGTCAGCACCAGGTCAGCGGGTTCTGAGAGCGCCTTCGCGAGCCTTCTTCCTGTCTGACCAATTTAAGATCGTGCCCAGCCAGTGTTGCTCAGTGGTTGAGCTTTGACCCATGAACCGGGAGGTCCCGGGCTGGTTTCCGGTCAGGGCACATGCCTGGGGTGTGGGCTCCGTGCCCAGGAGGCAGCCCACGGATGTTTCTCTCTCTTCCTCTCGAACTTCCTCTCTCTTAAAACAAAACAAGTTAATAATAAACATATCTTAAGAATAAGAAAAATAAATAAATCGATGTTCTATTTATTCTTATCTACAAATATCTGCCTTTGAACCCTGGCTGGCTATTGAGCCAGTCAGACACCATCATGATCATCATCATTGTTTAGTCTTTATTTTGAAATCTCAAATTTTAAGAATTTTCAAGTAAAGCACTCCCGTGCCCTGGCCATGGTGTGGACCCGCCCACGGGAGGGTCACAGGTTCCATTCCTGGCCAAGGGCAGTGCCTGGTGCAGGTTCTGTGGCCCCACACCCTCTAGGGCGCATGCGAAGGCAACCATTGATGTTTCTCTCTCACATCAAAGTTTTATCTCTCTCCCCTCTGTCTCCCTCCCCCTCCCTTCCTCCTTTTCACTTTTTCTAAAAAGCAATGGAAAAATATTCTCGGGTGAGGATTAAAAAAAATAAAGAACTCCTGTATCCCCTGTGATAATTAAGTTAGTTACAGGTGTGATGCCCCTTTACCTCTATGTTTAGAGGCATATCAGTGTGTATTTTCCTTTTTAACATATTTTTATTTATTTCAGAGAGGTAGGGAGAGTTAAAAACATCAGTGATGAGAGAGAATCATTGATTGGCTATCTCCTGCACACACCCCTACTAGAGATCTGGCCTGCAACCCTGGACATGTACCTTGACCAGGAATCCAACCATAATCTCCTGGTTCCATGCTCAATCACTGAGGCATACAGGCCATACCGCCAGTGTAAGTGTGTATTCTCTAAAAAGAAGGACATTACCCAATGTTCAAAATCAGGAGATAGTGATCAAAACTATTACCTAACACATAGTCTGTATTTAAATGCATCCAGTTGTCCTAATAATGCCCTTCATTGAAACTGCCTTTCTCTTGGCTCAGGATCCCACCCAGGAACATACTCTGCCTTCTCTTTAGTCTCTTTCAGTCTGGAGCAGCTCTCCAGCTTCCCTTGACTCTCATGACTGACACCTTTGCAGATTTCCTGGCCAGTTATTTTGTAGAACTGAATTTGAGATTGTCAGATTTCTTCACCACCAGGCTGTTATGGGCAGAGGTGGTGCTGACCAGACTGTTCCTCAGAGGCCGGGGCTGTGTCTTGGATGGGTGAGGAGCAGTGCCACCCACACCAGCCTCCATACATACTTCCAGACCTTGCTAGGCCAGACCCTTTCTGTGGCTGCCTCCTGTCGGGGATTTCACACTCATCTCACTGAGGTGTTTGGCTTCCCTGTAGCACCCACCTGGAGCCATGGTCCACGCTTTCCTCATCCACACCTTGAGGGCCCCACACGCGGAGGACTCGGGCCTTTGCCGGGTGCTCTACTCCTGCGTCTTTGGTGCCGAGAGTTCACCTGATGACCCACGACCACACGGTGCCGAGAGGGACAGGCTCCTCCGCAAGGAGCAGATTTTGGCTGTGGCCAGGTAAGAGCACAACCTAGTATTGTCACTGGTGGAAGTCTCACTGGGTGCTGCGGGACGGGTCCATAGGATCTCTTGGCAAAAATAATTTTCTGATGCTCGCCCAGGAGAGGGAGTCACTTTCATTTACGTGGAATTACATCCCTGCATTCCCAAGATCCCATTTCCCTTCATCCAGTCCAAGAAGATGGGCAGCTGGGGGTTCAGCAGAGCTAGAAGCAAGGGCCATGTCCAGAGTTTCCGTTCCAAGTGGAGCTGGGTCCGGCACACCATTAGGCTAGTTACAGTCCATTAGTCCATTGTGGGGGGGTCCCCATGGCTGTGAACCGTGTGGGCAAATGCAGGGGAGCCAAGAGCAAATCCCCTACAACAAGAGTCCCGAGTCCTGAGTGAACCGAGAGATAAGAGAGGGGACTCCTTTATTTAGGAGCTAAGTATCTTTTATATATATAACCTTGTGTAGGTTAAGTTCCTTAAACTCTCCCTATATATAAAAATATATAAAAATATATAAATATAAAATATAAATACATATAAAAACATTCATATATAAATATATATACATATATGTGTGTATATATATATATTATATATATATTCATTGATTTCAGAGAGGGAGAGAGATAAAAACATCAGTGATGAGAGAGAATCATTGATTGGCTACCTTCTGCACACCCCCTACTGGGGTTGAGCCAGCAACCCTTGACCAGAATTGAACCTGGGACCCTTCAGTCCACAGGCCGATGCTCTATCCACTGAGCCAAACCAACTAGGGCCAGGAGCTAAATATCTTAAATCTTCCTGTGCTTGCAGTGGCCACACCTACTCTGACCAATGAATTACTCCTAGCTGTAATTGACAGACTAGACTTTATGTCACCTATACTTTTCTGGGCATGCTCTATTCCTCCCCTGTACAGACTCTTCCCCCAGAGATCTGCGGGGAATAGACCGGTGGCTTTGCAGCTTCCTGGCAAAGCTGCACAAATGGCACGCTCTTACCATTTGGCCATCCCCCTGCTCCTTTCCTGCTAATTAATAACTGGGTTCATTACAATGGTACCAGCCCCACAACTTCATTGAATACGTGCCTGATTGTGATAAGTTTTCTGGGGAGCACAAGAGACAGGGGGACTAAGAATCAGAGAGGAAGTTTTAGAGTAGCATTTTCCAAAGAGTCTTTTATAGTTGTTCACAAGTGTTATGTGAAAAAGGGTTAAAAAAAACTATGAATGCCTTTATTATTATTATAGTTAAGATTTATTGAACCTGAAATATGTGCTAAGCATTTATGTCCTGGCATTTCATGTATATGAACTCATAGGTACAGTTATTATCCCCATTTTAGTTACATTTGAATCAACTGAAGTAGGGAGAGTTTAAGGAACTTAACCTACACAAGGTTATGCAGCTAGAAAACAATGGAGGTGAGATTTGACTATAGGCAGCAAATACCAGTATAGATTAGACATGCTCTGCAGTGCAAGAATTTTCACAGCCTTCAGTGTGCCTGTAGGCTTTATACATCTCTAAGGAGGAGAGAGAAAATGATAGAAGGGAAACCATTATGCTCAGAGCCTTCCAAAAGCCTGGGATCTGGAGTACAGTTTGGGAAACACTGTTCCGATTGGAGTGCCCATCCCAGACTGAGTCAGTGGGTGCCAAAATCTGTCTCTGAGCATTCTGGGAGGAGGGTTAACACTCTGAGACAACCCTGGGTCAGACCTCTGCCATCTTTTGGTTCCTGTGGACCTCTGCCCCCTTCTGTGGCACAGAAATCCAAACGTTGCCTGAAGACCAGCCTGTGCATGGCCCACATTGGAGGGCAGTTCAGGAGAAATGGGAGAGCGCCTTCAAAAGCCTGGATGGCCAAGAGAAAGGTCTTCCCTTTTCATTTGGAGAGGGTTGCGGGAGGGGAAGTGGGTGGAGAGTTTGGACAGCCCACGTTGGACGTGGCTTTCACACCGCTTCTCATTGGTTGCTTCCCTCTATGTTGAGGAAGCAGGCGGGTCAGGATTTCTTCCCCTGGTGCCCTTTTTCAGCCCAAGGAATTCTGTTCAAAACCTGCCTTCTCTTGGCCACACTGAGTGAAGTGGTTCAGGGCCTGGAGCCTGCAGTCTAGATTTCTGTTCCAGCTCACACTTTCTTCTCTGTGGCCCTGGGCAGGCCACTTAGTCTCTTTGGGGCTCAGTTTCTACATCTGAGTGTGGGGATAACGGCAGCTCAGCTCCCAGCTCCAAGGAGGGACAGGAGGATGACAGAAGTCGGTGACCCACCCACTCTCCCCAGGCAGGCGGAGTCCATGTGCCGGCTGCAGCAGCAGGCGTCCGGCAGGCCTCCCACGGACCTGCAGCTCCAGCCCTCAGATGAGCCGGTGCCCCTCCACGAGGCCCCACGGGGGGCCTTCCGCCTGGCGGCAGGGGACCCTTTCCGGGAGCCTCGGACAGTGGTGTGGCTGGGCGTGCTCTCCTTTGGCTTCGCCCTGGTGCTGGACGCCCACGAGAACCTGCTGCTGGCAGAGAACACACTTCGGCTGCTGGCGCGCCTTCTCCTCGACCACCTCCGGCTGCTGGCCCCTGGCACCAGCCTCCTGCTGCGGGCTGACCGCGTCGAGGGCATCCTCGCCCGCTTCCTGCCCCATGGCCAGCTGCTCTTCCTCAATGACCAGTTTGTCCAGAGTCTGGAGAAGGAATTCAGCGCTGCCCTGCCCCGCTGACCCCTCACTGAACGGGGCTTTGCGAGAAGGCATTGAGGAAAGACAAGGATGGCCGAAACCGGTTTGGCTCAATGGATAGAGTGTCGGCTTGGGGACTGAAAGGTCCCGGGTTCGATTCCGGTCAAGGGCATGTACCTTAGTTGCGGGCATATCCCCAGTAGGGGGTGTGCAAGAGGCAGCTGATCGATGACTCTCATCATCGATGTTTCTAACTCTCTATCTCTCTCCCTTCCTCTCTGTACAAAAGCAATAAAATATAAAAAAAAAAAAAAAAAAAAAAAAAAAGGAAAGACAAGGATGTTGAGACACAAAATCTGTTAAAACTTGGCATCTACCTCCTACCCAGCTTGCTCCCAGCTCTGGTGTGCTGCCACACTTGGGACAAATGGATGGGACAAGTTGGCAGAAAAGGGGGCAGGGCAGAAAGTAGAGGGGAAGAATCACAGAACATTCTGTGCCTGGAGGTGCTTCATGACTTATTCAGACTGCTACCAAGGGCAGCCCCTATTGTCCTTGACTCCACTTTCTCCCATCCCCATCCGCCAGGCCTCTACAGTGACCAGCTCCCAGTGCCGGGGTGGTGGGGATCAGCGGCCTGGAACTCGGCCCGTGTTCTTTTTCCCAAACCCACAGTCACCACAACACACAAGGAGCCTGAGCCTCAGCTCCACCACACTTCACAAATATGTCAGTCACTGAGGAGGACTCTCAGTGACTGACATATTTTGGGCTCAGTCCATCCTCGTCAAGCAGCCTCAAGATGATCATGGGCAATCCCTGGTCTGCAGGGAGAGAAGGTGCCATCAGATGGGTACAAGAAATCTGGCCTGGATGATGTTATCTTTCTCATTTTGATTTCATCACTGACCCCCGTGGGTCAGGGACCCAAGATCGTGGTGGTTCTGCTCAGTGTTGCTTGTGCCAATAAAATGAAACTGTTCTGTAAAGTAGATCAGAGAGAGTTTATTCTTTGGCCAAGGAATTGAGAAGGATGAGTTGTGCTCAAAAGATCCCAATTCTGGAGAGTTAGAAAAATCTTTTTATTTTATTGTTTTTATTTTTACCATCACCATTAATCTCCTCTAAGCCCTCTTCCACCTCTATTCCCTTCCTCCCCTAGGAAAGTCTTAAAGGGTTTGGGAACGGGGAGTAGTTAGGCAGGCTCAAGGAAGGGTGGAGGGTTCTGGGAGCATGCCCAGTTCCCTAACATGCTTGGAACACGCCTAGCCATACATTCCATGGATCGTTTTAATGTTACATTTCCATCCCTGGCATGAAGGAAAGTTTGTCAAAGGTAACATGGGAAGGGCTTTCAGATGCCGTCTTTGAGCCATCCGTCCAGGGCACAGACCGGTTTCTTTGCTATGATCCTTGGGTTCCTTATCTGGTTCTAGGCTGCAGGCTTGGCAATCTTCTCTTGAGGAGTTCAACCTCCTTGTGTCTCAACATCTGGTTGACACAGGAATACTGAGTCTGGCTGTTATGTTAGGGAGAATACAAGAAAGTTAGTGGAAGTTTAAATAAAGATTGATGATGTGGCACAACCCACTGACCATTTCACCCTCCATTCCTGTGGATTGAAGTAGTGCATATGCGTTCCTCTGGGTAAATGCCTTTCGGTGTGGCCTGAGCTGGGTGTCAGCGTTCATGGTTAAGGATGCCCCCAACAGGCCTCTTGGGAGGTCTCTGCCTCTTCTCTGCCGCAGCCCCTCTGTCTCCTTAGGTGCCTGCTTTGAGGGTAGCTCTAGATTGAGGATTAAAAAAACAACCCCCCTCCCCCCCAAAAAAAGAAAACAAAACAAAACAAAACACCACATTGTTCTGGCCCATGGATTTTATCAGACAGCCCAAGGAGTCACTGGCCTGAACCAGGCAGGTTAAGCACCACACTCATCTAGAGAAACAGAACGGCCCCATGTATGAAAGCCCTCCTCTCCGGTCTGTAGAGGCTCTCCTATGGATGAGTCTCCCACTTGGATTCCACCCACCCCCCCACCCCCCCCACAAAAAAAAGGGAGCTAGCCAGTAGATGTACTCATAACTTCCTCAGTGCTTTTTATTGCCTCATTTTTAATGCAAAGTTCACCAGACATCTGGGGGAAGCGAAACTAAATTAAAAACAATAAAAATGGTTTCAGAGGAAAACCATGCAGGGGACATGAGAGAATTATTTTTAAAAAAGGGTGGTAAAAAATAAATAAAAATTAAAAAGGGTGTTGGGGGCTCTCTAATTACTATTCTCAGTAATTAGATTCAGGAAGATATCACTCCCATAAAGCAAAGACAGGAACAGCAGAGAACAAGAATGAATTCTCAGGAAATAAGTGTTATTGCTTACATTAAAAATTAGCCCAGCAGGAGTAGCTCAGTGTTTGAGTGTCGACCTATGAACCAGAAGGTCACGGTTTGATTCCCAGTCAGGGCACATATCTGAGTGGTGGACTTGATCCCCACTAGGGCATGCAGGAGTCAGCTGATTGATGATGTTCCAGTCTCATTGATGCTTCTATCTATCCCTCTCTCTTCCTATCTCTCTAAAAATAAATAAAACATATATATATATATGTATATATATATACATACACACACACACACACACACACACACATATATATATATATATATATATATATATAGAGAGAGAGAGAGAGAGAGAGAGAGAGAGAGAGAGCCAACTGATACAGCTGGCTCCCTCTACTTTCCCTAAGGGTGCTTTGGTAGAGGCTGGAAAGAAAAAATACTACATTTCCAAGACTCCTTTGCAGCTAGAGTTATTACTATAACCCAAGGTCTGATAATTAGGTGCCCCAGCAGAGATTTGGGGGGTAGAGACCATCTTCCTGCTGTCACTTCTGCTGACAGCAAGGACACAAAGATGTGAGGCTCTAGAGCCAGTTTCAGCAGCCAGTCTCAGTATTCCTGTGTCAACCAGATGTTGAGACAGAGCTATGTGGAGCTGGGGGTGGCAGCAGTGTCCTCCTCACTTCTGACCATGTTTTACTGCGATAGCAGCCTCCAGATTCTGCTGCTCCAGCCTCCTCACAATTTTGCAACCAACTAACTTCCTATATTAAATTCCTTCCTGTGAAAAAAATATGTAAAGTGTTGGTGAAGAAGAGGAATGGACTATAGCACCTTGAACCATCAATATACTGCTGGTAGGAGTGTAAAGTGGCACAAACACTTTGCAGAAATGTTTGAAAGCTTCTAATATAAAGCTAAACATGCCCTATCCTATTTTCCATTACTTTTTAAATAAGTGTTAACTCCTCAAAAAGACATATATATGAATGTGCGTACAGTTTTATTCCTAATAGTTTGAACCTGGAAAAGCCCAAAAATATAGAATGAATAAACACATTGTGATATATTCACACAATGGACTATGATTCAGCATGAAAGCAAATTCCTGATACTTGCAACAACATACATGGATGTCAAAAACATGTTGAGTGAAAGATGCTAGACACAAAATAGTACATTTTATCTGATTCCATTTATATTAAATTCAGGGACAGGTAAAAGTAAACTGTGGTGATGAAATCAGAATAATGATTGAGGGTGGAGATTAATGAACAAGGATTACAAGGGGACTTTCTGGGGAGATGGAAATAGGCCAGATCTTGATCAAAGCGCTGGTCACACAGGTATTCACTTGGATAAAAATTAATCAAATTGCGCATTTAACATTGATGTATTTCATGGAATGTAAATTATGCACCATATTAAAAAAAACTCTTCCATGCACAAAATACCTAGCATGATTTCTGTTTTCTTCACTGAGCTCCAGATCATGGGGGAAGGGCCCTAAGACAAGAGACAGCAAAGAAGGGCTGAAAGCAGGCAGGGCACCAGCAGTGTGGTAGGAAGCTGGGGCCATGGAGGGATGTGGCCAGGGAAAAGTCTGCATTGGAGGAAGCCTGAATATTTGGGATTCTGATATCTAACTTCAAAGACATATCCTGCTCATGCACTCCTTTCCGTTTCCCACCAGCCCCCATTTAAACGTCTGTTGCCAAGCAACTTATGCCAGTGGTTCTTAGGAATGAATAGCATGATGGCAGCCCCTGAGTGGCTGATGAGGAGGCCATGCTGACCACAGGGGCTGGACAGCTCTGGAAGAGCTGGATGCAGCAGGGATTGGTACCCATGAGCTGAGATGGTCCAAGCCCCTTCCTTCTCCTGAGACCACTGAGATAGGGCTCATACCATAGACCCTGTCATGACTTGAGCCATCTCATGTGGCTTATCAAAGCAAGGGGCACTGAAGCCAGAGGGAAAGAAAATATCAGAAGAAAAGACACCAGGGTATCACTAGCAGTTTCTTCTGGGTGGTGGCATTTTAAGTACAGATTTTTATTTTCTTCACCCAACATGTCTGTTTTCCCTTATATGAACTATATGAGCATATGTTAATTCCCCCCCAGCTTTATTGAGTACATATATTTACTAACATCTGTATTAAAACTAACTGATGAAAATATAAAAGTTTAAAGAACAGCAGTTTAGAAACTTACCTGAAATGAGATTGTAAAGGCAGGGGTCATATTTTGTTTTTCAGTTATGAATGGTTCCCTGAAGGGACTCGGACATGAGAACATTTCCCTTTTTCGGGCAGTCTGGCAAGCTCTGTGGGCCTGACTTGGTTGTCTGGAGGAAATGTGAGCTGGTTGCTGAGTCATCACATGTGAGCCACATGAGCCACAGCCTTCCTTGGAGCACTGGCCTGCAGGCCTGGCCACCTGTCTGGGGAGGAGCTTTCCTGGGGAGGGGGGTTCCAAGGCCCTCATTGGGGGAGCATAAGATCACTCTGGATTTGCCCTTCCAGTAATAAATGGGCAATAATAGGGTGGTATGCAATCAACAGTAAAAGATAATATAGCCAGTTCTATTTGACCCAAACACTTGCCATGTTCTGTTTGTTTTAATAATAGTCATCTTAATGATTGCTATCTGCTATAAACTGAATGTTTATGTCGGTCTGTCCTCCCCACCCCCAA